TGTAGAGGAGGATCATGTTCTTTCCTTTTCAGGAAGTTTCCTTTGCCATGACCATGATCTGCACACTGTTGTGTTTTTTTTTTTTTAACAACAAAATGTGTTTAAAATAAAAAGGGAACAAGCATGGAGTTACCAGAATCACATTTTCCTGGCTGGAGAGAAGTCACAAGAAACAATACAGAACACTCACCCCCCCCCCCCCCCCCCGCTTCTCTTCTCTTTGCCTGGAGGAGGTGAGGCTGCTCTGTGGGGCTTTTTGATCTACAGAAGAACTGCAGGAAGGATTGAGGGATGAAGAGGGCACACAGCTGGTGTGGCTGCAGAAGGGTGAAGGGCTCTGAGCGCCAACCCTCACACAGAAATCCACCTACTTAAGGACAAGGTGTGGACTTGGAAGGGCTGAGGGCTCTTCCAGATGAGAGTTGGCAGGAGAGATCTGGATCTTAGGGAGACACAGCTCACAAAGGACCATTTCAGGGCAACTGGCAACATATGAATATGTACTGTGGATTGGAAAACAGCACTGGCTGAATGTTAAATCCCCTAACTTTGATCACTGACATGTGGTTACATAAGAGAATGTCCTTGTTCTTTGAAATATACACTGAAGTACTTAGGAAGTCTTCAAGCACAAGATGTCTGCAACTTACTTTCAACTAGTCCAGAAAAACAACATATCCAGTAAATATGGAGGAGGAGGGGAATGATAACACAAAAGGGGGCGACATATTAACAATTGGTGAATCTGGATAAAATGTTCTCTGAACATGAGTTCTCTGAACTATCCTTGAAACTTTTATATAAATTTGAAATTATATCAAATTTAAAATCCACAAAAAAACCCAAAGCAAGTGTCAGGGTTGGATTCTGTTCAGGGCTAGAATGTATACTCAGGGTAAGAATAAACTAAATTTTGTGAGGGAAGCAACTAAATCAATATTGGGTTATTCGCTTTCTTTAGAATCATCCTTTGTGGAAGAGTGACTTAAGTATTCTTCAGATATTAATAATTACTGACTACCAGTTTGTTTACACTGTCATTTTTTAAACTGAAGTATAGATGACTGACAATACTATGTTAGTTTCAGGTGTACAACATAGCAATTCAACATTTCAGTACATTACAAAATGATCACCATAGCAAGTCTAGCAACTATCAATCACCAAAGTGGTTACAGTACTATTGACTATATTCTGGTGCTGTATATTGCTTCACATGACTTACTTATTTTATAATGAGAAGTTTGGATCTCTTAATCCCCTTCACGTATTTTGCTCACCCTCTCACCCTCCTCCCCTCTGGTAACCATGAGTTTCTGCTAAGATTCAAGCAGAGTTTACTCTATATATTAGGTTGGTTTTTTGTTTTTGTTTTGGTTTTTGGTTTTTGGTTTTGTTTTTATAATGGAGGTACTGGGGCTTGAACCCAGGACCTCCTGCATGCTAAGCGTATACTCTACCACTGAGATACACCATCACCCTATATATTAATTTTTGATCAGAGGCTTCCTGATTAAAGGCCACCTGGGAGCAGTTTTTCCTGAGTTTTCACTCTTTAGTTGAGCAAACTTAATGGTGGCAAGGAGCAAGCTTTTTGGAGAGGGTGCAACGTACATGTGCTTTGTGTGGTTTGATGAAAGCTGTCCCTCCTGGGACTCCTTGGTAGGCCTGGAAGGGAAAATCATTTCACATAAGAAGCCAAAAGCCTTGGAAGGGCAGGGACTACAGACATTCAAAGCTGACAAAATCTGGTAGAAGGGCCCAGGGTGACAGGAAAGGACAATGGCTCCAAGGATAAAGGCAAACTCACCAGGAGGGGACAAGGAGGTCTGAGCTTAATTCAAGGGCCTAAGGCTTTAGGGTGTGTGTGGGGGGTGGGGTGGGGTGGGTGTGTGTGTAGTAGGTAGTGATTCTGGAACAGCATGTAGCTTAGACCAGTATCCCTCTGGACCAGCCCAGTGCCACACCTTGGGAACAATGGCTGAGCATGTGTGAGCTGAAGGAGCAACAGTGCTGGAGGCCAGCAGGTGACTAGGCTCCATGGGCTGCTTGGGCAACATCCTGCAGCCTAGAAGAGGAGGGGTCCCCGTAGAGCCACAGCCTCCAGGCTTGGTGGGCTTCTCAGAGCTACCCAGTGACATGAGTTTCCCTATTCTGTGTCACGTATATCCCAAATCCTCTCACTAATTCTCTGACTCGCCCTGATACCCATTATCAGCAGGTGACCACATCACTTATTTCACCAAGAAAATAGAAACCATCAGGATAAAACACACTTAACTTCTTGTCGAAATCGTCCCTCTTCACCAGCACTTTCACACCTCCTGGACTCATTCTTGCGGAAGACAAAGCCAAGGTGAATTCTGCTCACTCTTGACCTTCTCCACAGACTTACTCCATTAGCTTTGCCCCGCATCTTCCATCCCTCCCTCTCTGTAGCTCAAGCCTTTCCCGTTTGATGAAGTCTTTCCCTTGATCCTTCCAGATGCTGCCCTGTCTCTCCCTCCTCTTTACAGCTAAACATAAAGAACATAAAGCCATGTGCAACTCAGCCCACTCAAATCTGACAACTGTGTTCTGATGCCACTAAAGCTCATCACCCCACAGTCACTTGTTAAACCTGCTTGGGATTCTAAAGGCTTCCCCAGGCCTGGCTGCTAAGGTGCACCAGACAACCCGACCACCACCTATTTGTTGAAAAGCTCTCTTTTCTGATCTAGAAAACAACCCTCTCTTAGTCTTCCTTCTACCTCTTTGACTATGCCTTTCAGTCTTTGTTTGTCTCTAAAAGGTTTTCTTTGCCTTGGATTCTGGCTTTTTTCCCTCTTGTCACACTTTTTTTGGACCAGGGGTCCAACCAGGGGCCAAGGAGAAATTGTACATGAGTAGGTGGGGCTAGTAGGAGTATAGGCACAGTGGAGACTGGAGCAACCAGGGAGCATGTGTCTGTATCCTTGGAAAAATGGCAGCAGCAACTCAGCACTAACAGATGCCTGCCAAAAGCAGGGTCGGCAAACTTGTTTTTAAAGGGCCAGAGAGCAAATATTATAGGCTTTGTGGGCAATGTACGATCTGTCACATGTTCTGCTTTGTGTTGCTTTAATAGCCCACTAAAATGTAAAAAAACCCAAACCAAACCAAAAGCTCAAAAACAAAAAACCAAAATAAAACCAAAACCCAAAAAACTTATGTCTCTGGTTATACACACACAAACCAAGGGCCAGATATAATGAGCAGACTATAGTTGGCTGACCCCTGTTCAAGACTGAATATGAACACAGAGTGGCTAGGTCTTCAGGTTTTCCAGAAAGCTGGAATATTTTATAAACCTTTCAGTTATGGAAAACCTGCATTTTGAAGACATCTGGCAGCGCCTGTCTCCAGGTACTCACTGAGCTTTGTGCAGCCACTGGAAACATGGTCCACCCAGAACCCAAGTCACTGTTAGACTCCCCACCCAAGCTGGATTCAAAATCTCAGCAGATGGCAAGGCCCTTGGCTAAATTTCCAGAAACAGATACCTGGGGGTCCCTGCCCTCACATGCACCTAGTGAGTTGCTGATTCTTCGTCTAAATATCTCTCCACTTGGCTCTGTCCCCAGTGTCACTTCCCTGTGTTGTGACAGTTATTTCATCCCTGGAGGACAATCTCCTGATAAAAGAGTCCCCATCTCCTGTCTTATTCTCTCTTAATGTTTTCTACAGCCAGAATGATCTTTAGAAAACGCATATCTGGGCATTCCCAAGTCTTAAGGCTCATTTGCTAATTGCGGAAGGTCCTAACCTTCAGCTGGCTTACAAGGCTTCTGCAGGTCTGGCTCCTGCTGAGCTCTCCAGTCTCCCCTCTCCTCAC